TCTTTCATACTTTGGACATTTTATCAGGAAGGACCAGTCCCAGGAGAAAGATAGACACTATTCTAGGTAAAGTGGAGGGTAAGGAAGAAGAGAAAGACCTCCAGTGAGATGGCTTAGCATAATGGACTCAAGCGTAGAGATTTGTGTGAAGCTGGCTCAGCACCAGGCAGTGTTTTGTGCTATTTATAGGATTGCTATGAGTTGGAACCAAGTCAACAGTACCTACCAACAACAGTGCGTGGACATGAATTTTTGTGCATTTGAGTTCTTTTTGACAATTACCAGTTTTCCTAGAATTATAATTTGTATATTCCATGTTTGGAATATTAATATATGTTTGCAACTTTTTCTTCTCATTTTGAGTTGTACCCTGTTAACAAATGAAAGCTTTGCTCCATTCACGTCATTATGGTCAGCTCTACTTTGAGCATGTAGCTCTTCCCCATTCGTATTTTGAGTGTCTTTCAACCTGAAGGACTTATCTTCCAGCACTTTTTCTGACAATGTTTTGCTGTTAATCTTTTCCTTTTCTGACACTGTCTAGCACCGTTCTACTGCTATTCATAATGTTTTCAGTAGCTATTCATTCAGAAGTGATCTGCCTCTCCTTTTTCCTGGTCTCTGTTAGTCTGGAAGCTCTGCTGAAACCTGTCCACCATGTATGTATGACCCTACTGATATTTACAATACTGGTGGCATAGCTTCCAGCATCAGAGCAACATGCAAGTCCCCACAGTATGACAAACTGAGAGATGGGTGGTAGCATTACCTTTAGGTTCATATGCACTTAACATTTTTATGACTTTTTGTTGGGTAGAATTTTTATTATTGTGTAATACCCTTTATTTTTTCTAATAGATTTTGATTTGAAGTCAGTTTTATCTAATATCAATAAGGCCATCTGTGTTTTATTGTTTGCCTGTTGCAGTGAATACTTTTCCCTATCCTTTTATTTTCAGTCTCAGTGTCTTCTTACATCTAAGGCATGTTTCTTGTAGATAGCAGAAGGGTGGATTGTGTACTTTTTGTTGTTGTTGTTATTGTTGTATTCCTTCTGTTATTCTGTGCCTTTTGCATGGGTGGTTTGAATCATTTACTTTTTAAGGTTATTACAGAAAATGAAGGGTGTACCTCATTCATTTTGCTGTTTGTGTTTTGAGCATTTTATATTTTCTTTGTTATAATCTTTTTTTTGTTTTTTTTTTTATTTGACTCCTTTTTTGTGATGAGCTTGTTTTTGCTTTCCTTCTTCTTTCTACTGAATGTTACTTCTTCGCGATTTCTTAGTGGTTACCATATATTTTTCACTGAATGGTTTAAAATGCAATGGTGTTTCAATATGAATGACAGTTAACATGCAAACCTACATAGTAAATCTGTTACTGATAGTCTCCTACCTCCCACATTTATTATTATATCTCAATTTCATGAATATATAAACTATGTTTGATGAATTTACTTTTTACTTAAATCTTCCAAACTTGATTGGTGCCTTCACTCACTCTTACCATGTTCCTCTGCCTCCCCTTATAACTTCCTTATGATCTGTAAGGATCAGCTCACTCTGCCTCTGGGAGAGCAGGCTGCTCTAACTTCCATGTGTGTTTGAGTGGGTATCTCGTGGTGAGTGTATGCTTAGAGAAGAGGGTCACTATCACTCACTCCACCATGTTCCCCTGCCTCCCCTTATAACTTCCTTATGATCTGTAAGGATCAGCTCACTTTACCTCTGGGAGAGCAGGCTGCTCTAACTTCCGTGTGTGTTTGAGTGGGTATCTAGTGGTGAGTGTATGCTTAGAGAAGAGGGCCACTAATTGTACACTGCAGCATCCAGGTTGTGAATATTGTAATTGTGGGGAGGTCTCGTGTCTTTTTTTCTGTCTCAGGGCTGACTAACTGATCAATGCTTTGCCTTTCTTCATAAAGGGGACATTAAGGAAGAAAGAACAGCTGCTGAGTTACTGAAAACTATGACACAGGTAAGTAAAAGTTAATAGCTTTCCTCCTAAAAGTATTTTCATTTTACCAGGTTACCTATCTCTTTCTAATTGTCTAGAGCAGAGGTTAGCAACCTGTGTCTGTGTAAGATCATACAGTTAAGGTTTTAAGCTCTGAAGGTGTTTCTGTTGTAATTCAGTTCTGCCATCTTCATAGGAAAGCAGTCATAGACAGTACATAACTTGTACTGTTTTATTGTTTTACAGTAAAGCTTTATTTACAGATATTCGCTGCAGTTATCTTTAGTCCCTAGTCCGTAGTTTGCTGACTTTGAGTCTAGTGTTGAAAGTTGTACTTCTCTGATCTCCTGGACCTTTCAGGTTTGATAAGGAGGGGAAAGGAAAAGCTCCCAGTCATTCAGTGTTTTATTCACTCAGACCAGTTTTGCCCTTATGCTTCATGCGCTGATTACTACGGTGGGTGTCTGAACTCAGTGCTGCTATGACAGAAGTATCTCAGTGGGTGGCTTTCAACAACACAAATGTGGTTTTTCATAGTTAGGTGGTTTGAAGTCCTAATTGAGGGCACCAGCTGGAGAGAAAGTCCTCTCTGTTAGCTCATGGGAAAATCGTTGACTTCCTTCCTTGATGATTTCCATGTGACTCCTGTGCTTCTCCAGTTTTTGCTTGCTTCTCTCCTCTTTTTATGTCTCAAAAGTCATTAGGCTTAAGGCACCCTCTACTGATATGTCCCATTAACATAACAAATAAGGGCCTATTCCTAAACTGGATTACATTCCATATAGTACAGGGGCTAGTATAGTATTCTAGCATGTATTTTATGGGTGTTGGGGAGGAGGACACATGATTTATCTGTAACAGGATATAGTTGAAATTATTTTGTAACAAGAAATGGATGATGTCAGTATGGAGATTATTTTGTTTCATAGCATTTCTCATTTCTACTGTGTATTCTGTACTGTTCTAGACCATGAAAATGGAAAGGAATAAAATGAATTCATCAACTGTCAGACTGTAGAGAGAGAGAATTCTAGTGTATTAGAAGTGTTGTTAAATCTGTGTGACAAGATTGTATCTGTCAGATGTGCTTTTTGGTTGTTTAAATTATTATATATTCCTGAGTGTTTTTGTGTACACTCCCCCCCCCCCAAAAAAAAAACACACCAAAAAACCCCAAAACCAAAAACAGGGAATGGAAGCAAATACTGTTGAATGATGATGCACAGAGATTGTAATCATTGCAATGAAACGGTTGTGTAAAGCCAATATTCTCCCATATAAACTATCACTCAGATCACAATAAAAATTTAAAAGAAAAAAGATTGGCTGTCAGGCACATATGTGGGTTGTTGTTGTTGTTGTTAGGTGCCATCAAGTTGGTACCAACTCACAGCAACACTGTGCACAACAGAGCAAAACAAAGCCCTATACTGGGCCAACCTCACAGTTGTTGCTACGTTTGAGCCCATTGATGCTGCCACTGTGCTAATCCATCTTGTTGGGGGTCTGCCTCTTTTTCTCTGATCCTCCACTTTACCAAACATGATATCCTTCTCCAGTGACTGGTCCCTCTGACAACATGTCTGAAGCATGAGAGATGAAGTCTGGCCATCCTGGCCTCCAATGAGCATTCTGGCTATATACTTCTTCCAACATAGATCTATTTGTTTTTTTTTTTGGCATTCCATGGTACTTTCAATATTTTCCTCCAACACCATAACTCAAATACATCAATTCTTCTATGGTTTTCCTTATTCAATATCCAACTTTCACATGCATATGAGGTTATTGAAAATACCATGGCTTGAGTCAGGCGTACCTTAGCCCTCAAACTGACATCTTTGCTCTTCAACATATGTGGGTAGAAAAGGAAAAAGCTTTGATGACTGAGTCTTAGAGTTGATGTTGGGAGACCACAGAACCTTCTCAAATTCCTGTGACTTGATTCTCAGCTTCCCAGTGCTGTTAGGGAATATGGTGGGGGAGTTGTTGCCTTGCTGAATCTGATATATGGGGTATTTTAGGACTTGGTGGTCTTTGAGGATGTGGCTGTGATGTTTACTCAAGAAGAGTGGGCTTTGTTGGATCTTGCTCAGAGGAACCTCTACAAAGATGTGATGCTGGAAAATTTCCATAACCTCGCTTCAGTAGGTAAGAACAGCAAAATTCCTTCATTTAGTTATACAGAAAACAACTTTATATTAATATTCAACTCTGTTCCAAGATTTTGGCTATGGAATGGGAATGTAAATAAGACAGGCACGGTCGCTGATCTCAGAGAGCTTACCATCCTACTAGGTTCATGCTAAAAACAAACATTTTTGTGTTAAACTGACAGTTCTAAGATTGGGGATTTCATGGATAACACAGTGAACTTTTGTGCTGCTTTGACAAAATTTAAAGTGGAATTGTTCTTTTTTACCCTGGAGTAGCCTTGCCTTAGGTTACTATTCTGTGAGGTAGTTTATGTTTAACAGTAGAACAAACTACCTTGGCAGTGAGCATTTGTTGTTGTTGTTGTTGTTAAGTGCTGTCGAGTCGATTCTGACCCATAGCGACCCTGTATAGGGTAGGGTTTCCAAGGAGCGGCTGGTTAGCTTGAAACACTGACTTTGTAGTTCAAATGACTTTGCCGTCTGACGCATTAGCCCACAGTGCCACACCAGGGCTCTGGCAGTAGCATTAGATCCATTTATAATACTAAAAATTGCCTGTGAATATCAGTTCAGTTTTGATATCAAAAAAGCTGCTTTGTATTTTCATCATTTAAAAAAAATAATAAATTGGACAAACATTTTACTTCACTGAAACTCACACTTGTTCATCTTCAGGGCAGGTAAAGTTTTGTCTCATGGAAATGTTTGTGGTCTTCACTATGTTCCCTCACGATACGGCTTTCTGCATTAGCAGGGTATCCACTGTCCATACCTCATCTGATCCTCCATTGGGAACAAGAGGAGGACCTGAAGACAATGGAGAAGCGATTTATTCAGGTCACCGGTACTGGGGAGCATCAGGAAGGCAAGCATTTTTTGGAGAAATTGTCCTGGTTGGAGAACAAGAAACTAAATCAAGCCAGTTGTATTTGGAAAAATAAAATAAGAAAAACAAAAACTGTTTTATGTGAGGAGGCTGATCTTCTATGGATACAATAGTTACTTTTGACTTTTTATCATTCATCTCATATTGTCCTTGTTGTTGGGAAAGATTGTCCATATTCCCTTTTAGAAAGTTAGTATTTGATAATGTACATTGTATCCAATTGCTTTCTACTTCACTCTTCTTCATTAGAGCCTATTTATGTTTTCAAAAGTCTCAATCTTCTTGGAATATTTCTTAGCAAATTGGTTGTCATTTTTTGCCTTTGTGCCTATTATTGGTGGTGGTTATGTGCTGTGGAGTCGGTTCCAATCTATAGCGACCCTGTACAGGCTTTCCGAGGCTGTAAATCTTGATGGGAGCAGAACGCCTCATCTTTCTCCCGTGGAGCAGCTGGTAGTTTCGAACTGCTGACCTTGCAGTTCGCAGCCTGATCCGTAACCACCACCTACCAGAGCTCCTTGTGCCGATTATTACCAGTCATGAAACAACCAAACTACGACAAGTCCTTTGCTAACAGGTGCTTTCACTTTCTTGTTTCAGGCTCCAAGACTCAACTTAAAAGCAGTGAATCAGTTGTTCAGAGAGGTATTTTACATGAAAAAATATCCATTGAACAGAAAATAGTACGATTTAAAAGGAATGATTCCAGGTCCTCTGATTTACATGAAAATCGAGAATGCCATGATATTGATGATCAGAACAGTGACCATGAGAGGCATTTGAGGTGAGTGACATTTATATAAAACAAAGTAATGTCTTAGGAGAGAATTCTTCAAATGTCATGAGTTTTTAAAAACGTGTGTGCATATACATATATATATAACATGTTTGTATATATACATTTCAATAAAAAAATGTTGCTTTCTCAAAGAATTTTTACAAGATAATATTTCCACAGATGTGACTGAGACATTGAATAGTTGACACTTAATTGACTTGCAAACTATTATCGTAAAATTTCTGTAAGTTAGGAAGCTAGTGACATTATTGGCTATGGTAAAGCCCTATATGAGAATATTCACTTTATAACTTTATAGGGAACACAGTTTATACATTTACTGAAAATTTAAAAAAAATTATTACTAATAATGTGCTTTTTATTTTTAAAAGAAGTCATGTGGTGAAGAGCATCCATGAATGTACTGAAGGACATCAATGTGGACAAGCCTTCAGCCGGATGCCAAATCTTGATGTGGTCAAGAGCACTACTGGAGTCAAACCCTATGAACACCATGAGTATGGACAGGTCTTTATGGATCATTCATCCCTTAAGAGTCACACTAGGTCTCTCACTGTAAGCAAACCCTATCAGTGTAAGGAATGTGGAAAAGCCTTCCACTTTCTTGCGTCTTTTAGAAAGCATGTGAAAACTCTCATTGAAAATAGCCCCTATGAATGTAAGGAATGCACCAAAGCCTTCAATTGTTCCTCATCCTTTAGGACACATGTGAAGAGTCATTCTGCAAAGAAAACATATGACTGTAAGGAATGTGGGAAGGCCTTTAGTTGTTCCTCATCCCTGAAAGAACATAAAAGAATTCATAGTGGAGATAAACCGTATGAATGTAAGGAATGTGGGAAGGCCTTTAGTTGTTCCTCTTCCCTTTCAAAACACAAAAGAATTCATAGTGGAGATAAGCCATATGAATGTAAGGAATGTGGGAAAGCCTTTAGTTCTTCCTCCCATCTTATAATACATACACGAATTCATACTGGAGAGAAGCCTTATGAATGTAAGGAGTGTGGGAAGGCCTTCAGTGAGTCCTCAAAACTCACTGTACATGTGAGAACACATACTGGAGAAAAACCTTACAAATGTAAGGAATGTGGGAAAGCTTTTAATTGTCCCTCCTCCTTGAGCATCCATATGAGAAAGCACACGGGAGAAAAACCCTATGAATGTCTGGAATGTGGAAAAGCCTTTTATCTGCCGACTTCCCTTAATACACATGTGAAAAATCAAAGTAGAGAGAAACCTTATGAATGTAAGGAATGTGGTAAAGCCTTTAGTTGCCCCTCATCATTTCGAGCACACATGAAAGAACATACTGGAAAGTTACAGTATGAATGCAAGGAATGTGGAAAAGTTTTCAGTCGATCCTCATCCCTCACTGAACACTTAAGAATACACAGTGGTGAGAAACCGTATGAATGTAAGGAATGTGGGAAAGCCTTTATTAGTTCTTCCCACCTAACAGTGCATGTAAGGACTCATACTGGAGAGAAACCCTATGAATGTAAGAAATGCGGGAAAGGCTTTATTTACCCCTCAGCTCTTAGGATTCACATGAGAACACACACTGGGGAGAAACCCTATGAGTGTAAGGAATGTGGAAAAGCCTTTCGCCACTCTTCATACCTTACTGTCCACGCAAGAATGCACACTGGAGAGAAACCGTTTGACTGTATCGAATGTGGGAAAGCTTTCAGTTGTCCTTCATCCTTTCGAAGACACGTAAGAAGCCACACAGGAGAGAAACCATATGAATGTAAAGACTGTGGAAAAGCCTTTGTTTGCCCTGCTTACTTTCGAAGACATGTGAAAACTCACACTAGAGAAGCCACCTGACAGTAAGGAATATGGGAATGTCTCTAAGAGTTGAAGAGTCCTGGTGTGGCAATGTAGGACAAGCACCAGATGCTAACCGCAAGTCTGGCTGCTCAGATCCACCAGCCGTTCCACAGAAATCCTGTACAGGGTTACTGTGAATTGGAACCAATTCGATGGCATTGAACAACATAAGAGGGGAAATGAAGGAAAGCCTTCGGTTTTCATTCATCTTTTTGAGAATTCACCTGTGTATGGCAATCGTGTGGGAAAGCTTTGATGAACATCACTCATGCATAAGAAAATTCCTGAGCAGTGAAGTCTTATATACCCTTATTAGAGTTTCATCCTAAACATGGACTATGGGCTAAGGTGATACATTCCCTTTATCACCTTTCTAATACCTTTTTAGCTCCAGCCACATATGTTTTAATATGAGGTGTTTGTAGTATGATATAGTTATAAATGTTGTCTTATTTCCATTACATGGTGGTTTGGAGTCCATATATATGTGTGTGTGTGTGATGTTGTAGGATCAGCACTGGACTATGAACTACAGGGTCAGCAGTTCAAACCCACCAGTTGCTCCTCAGAAACCTTATACAGAGTCACAATCAGTTGGAAGCAACTTGACGCCACTTAGCAGCAACATGTACATACATATATACATATATACACACACACACATATGTACACACACACATATATGTACACACACACACACACATACACGCACACATATGGACTCCTGGTATGGCATTGTAGGATCAGCACTGAATTATGAACCACAAGGCCAGCATTTCAAATCCACCGATTGCTCCTTGGAAACCCCTATACAGGGCCAGCTTGATGGCACTAAACAGCAACAAGGGTTTCTGAGGCCCAGCTAGTGAACTTGAACTGTAGACCTTGCAGATCAAACCAACTTTGCAGTCGAGCTTATTAATCCACAATGCCACACCAGAACTCTGTATATGTACACACATACATATACATAAACATTTCAAATCCTCTACACTTATATATATATAAAGGAGCTCTGGTAATGTAGTGTGGTTACGAATCGGGCTGTGAACCGCAAGGTCAGCAGTTCGAAACTACCAGCGGTTCCGTGGGAGAAAGATGAGGCGTTCTGCTTCCATAAAGATTTACAGCCTTGGAAACTCTGTGTAATATATATTATATTACCACTCTTACTTGCACACACACATGTGTGTGTGTACTTACACATGTACACATATAAACATATGGAGTATTGGTATGGTACTGCAGGATAAGTACCAGGCTGGCAGATCAAATCTATAAGTTGCTCCTCAGAAACCTTGTACAGAGCTTTGAGTAAGAACCAAACAACACATTTGTGCAAGAGTGGTGGTTTTAAAAAATGTTTTCTAATTCACATTATATATATATTGTTGTTGTTGTTAAGTGCCGTGGAGTCGGTTCCGACTCATAGCAACCCTGCACATATAATATATATATGAAGCTCTGGTAGCGTAGTGGTTATGAATCGAGCTGCGAACCGCAAGGTCAGCAGTTCAAAACTACCAGCT